CCACGGGCAGGGGGGAAGCACAGAGCTGCGTGGTCACCAGGGTGTCACCCCAAGGAGGGGCAGCAGCTCGTGCTAGCCAGGTGATTGCAGCTTCTTTACCAAACTGCTGCTGAGCCTGCTTACCCCGGCAGGTCCCCTTTGGAATCCCACTGCATTTACACAGCTCAGTTAGGACCTTGCTTGGAGTGAAAAATAAATTGTATTTAGAAACAGGAAGAATCTGTGCCTAAACCTGGAGGTGACAGCTGATATTGAGATCTCTTCTTTACAACTCCCTTTAGAACAATCTGATGTTGTTGATTGCATTGGAAATAAACTAATCTTTACCGAGAAGTTTATTTAAGAGAAATTCAGTCTCCAGCTCCCTCCTTCCAGATCAGCAGATGGCCCTAAGCCAGGAGAACAGACCATGCTTCCAAGAGCCATCTGCACCTGTCCGATTGCTGTTTGACTGCCTGGGCCTGACATTGCTAATTATATCTGCCCATTATTTCCTCTGACTGTAGAGACGGTTCTGCTGGGTCAGATGATCTGATTTGGCAAACAACAGCCAGAAAAAGTGAAAAACAACTCAGAGGGATGGGGTGTTTCAGGCTCGCCTGAGGCCAAGATGCCCAACCCAACCTGACACAGACAATCGTGTAGCCAGACCACCCACTGTCCTCGTGCAATGGAAGACAATCAATAGCACAAAAATAAATTATATCATGAGCCCCAGTGTCTGCATCAGATAATTGACAAGTGGTGCAACCAACACCGTAGTTCAACATAGTGCACACACTCCACAGCAAGTAGGGCCGGGAAGACGAGAGCAGCAAAACTCAGGGTGGCTTCAACAAAGCCGGGGCACCTCTGTTCCCTTAATGCACCATTACCATGCTAAAAATCTCGTGGATGTCAGCACAATCCTTTCCAGGGGCCACAGAGATCCCAGAGACCCAGGTCTGCTGCAGGCACCGTGCAAGTCTGCCCAAGGCACCCGGGCTGTGCTGGTACTCAGACAAACCTCACCTGGAAGGAGGGATGAACTTTACCTTCAGTGGAGAGGAGAATAACACCCCAGCAGCCCACCAGGTCTGAGGCTCCAGACCTGCTTATCCCAGGATGGGAATATCTGGCAGTTCCCTGCTGCAGGAGAGGTTCTGGGGCTCAGAGAGCATCCTCTGACCCTTCTCAGCTCCAGCAACATTTGCTTCCTTTTCTGAGTCACAAAGGAGAGCAGGGAGGAGCCTCACAGAGCCAAGCTGTCCAGTCCCTCTGCAGGCACTGGCGTTGCACCAGAGACACACTTGGCCCTGCAGGTTTGATCGCACTCAGGAGGAAGACAGTTCTCCTATCTATCATGATATCGCCAAGTGTAATACAGCCTAATGAGACAACATAGATTGCTGGCAAAGACAGGCAGCAGCACAGCCTGGCGCCGCTCCAAGGTCTTTATCCCACTTTATGGCTCTGGAGGACCTGACCCGTCACAGATAAGTGCTATCAGCAGCTTTATCAGAGCCCAGCAGCCCGACACCTGCATCACCGCCTCCCCTCACATACCGAAGAATGCATTTCCTTCACCATCCAGAGCAAACCATTTACTCTCCCAGCTTCCCCCAGACCCCAAAAGAGGTCCCCGGCAGCCAGCGAGCAGTTTATAGCCCTGAGCAAGCTCTGACCAGCTGAAATCAATGCAGAGCAACGAAATGAGAGGAAATGACCTGCAAACGGCAGGAGTGATTCCAAATGAACCGACAATTTAGCTCCATTGTTTGTTCTGTTTACTGGTAGACTGTATCTCCGATAGCTTAATTACTCGTGTATTTGCCTTGAGAAGTACAGCTCTAACAGTGGAAGATTTAAATCCAGCTCAGGAGTTTCTGCTTCACTGTACTCGTCGCTCGCCCCTGCTGTTCTCTGCTGCCCAATCCCATTAACCTGCTATAGTATCTCCCTGGAGTCCATGTACAACACTTTTTGAGGAGGATCAGACCTGCTGAAGTCATTCCTTCCCCACGAGCCAGGGAGAAATCAGAATGTCATCCTCTGAACACACACAGCATGGATTCTTGATTTCCTTGCAATAAGTAACCCCTACTTTAGCGATTTCTGGCTGAGTCCAGCCTAAGACACAGTCCAGAGTAAATCCTCCACGTCCACAAAGTGCGCAAGTATTTTTTGCCAATTTTACTGGCTTTGCTAAATCAAGAGATCTGGGAATGATCTGAACTTATCTTGGTTATCTGAGATGGCAGCAGAAAGGAGAGATCAGGCAGTGCCTGCTCAATCAGCCAGCACTAAAGGAGCTACATTAGCAATTATTATTCTCAGCCTTATCTCCTAAGGACAATTTCAACAAACTTGCTGAATCTGCCCAGGAAAGAACAGACTGACGCTACCTGATTATTTTTCAAGGGCTCTGGATTAAATAACAGAATCGGGATTTGGAAATGTCATTGAAGAACAGAGCGGAGAGGACTCTGGAAAGGCTCAGTCGTGTCAGCGCATAATACAGTGGGATGAGAGCTGAGGAAGATCTTACAGAATCACAGAATATTCTGGGTTGGAAGGCACCCACAAGTTGGTGCTGGGCCCTCACCGACTGACTCAATTACTGCCTGTCCCAGGAGCTCTTTGAACCTTTTTCTTAGGGCCAATTCCAGAGACTAAAGCCGGACCCAGAATCTTGTAGAACCGGAGCAAAAGCAGCGTCTGACGGTGTCGTGCCTTGTCCCATCTCTGCTGGGCAGGGGCTGAGGGCGCTGCCCACAGGCAGGCACGGGGCAGAGGCTGCAGGAGGGCAGGTGTCAGCTCATCTCATCTCATCTCCTGCTGCCGTGCTCACACGTGGCCAGCGATCGCGCTGCGGGGGCCGCTGACACACTTTGCTCGCTGACACGGCCACTGAGCCGCGCCCGAGTGCTCAATCCAGCCCCGCGTGTGGCCGAGGCGAAAAGACAAGCTGATGTGCTCCTGTCAGGATGCATCAGTGGAATTCCAGAGGAGTGTTTCAGCAATGCTTCCTCTCCCACAGAATAGCCTTGCCTTGTGCTTCCCGGGCCACTCGCTGCCAAAAGGGAGAGGTCTTGGCTCACAGGACCCTGACACCTCTGCAGGTGGCTGTGTTACTTTATCCCCCCTGGGCTATCTGGAGCATCCTAGCACTCGTGCCCTGGCTGGAGGGTGTTATGAGGGTTCTCTGCAGGGCTCTCCCCATTTTAGGCAACGTGACTCCTCATCACGCTCTGCTGCACTGGTTTCTGCCTGGATTGCTCTACTCCCTCTCGGTTTTCATTTTAATTGGAATAAATATCACAGCCCCTCAAGTGACAGAGACTCCTGTGTCAGCACTCTGGGATTTCTCACTTCTGCCTACTCCCATCTTGCTCTTCCCCTCCACGAGCACATTCACACGCTGCTGAGTTGGTTGGGGCTGAGGCACAGAACTGGAGCCATCCCCTTTTTAAATCCCCATCAACAGCCCCCAGCCAGTGTCCTGCTCAGCCAGGGCCCTCAGCTCCTCACCCTGCAGCTGAGAGGAGAAATATCAGAGTAAAACCCCACATGGGAGTCGCAGTGTTGATGCTGGGGGGCTGTAATCACTGCAGTATCCTTGGGGCAGGAAGGAGACCTACCTTCAGTCACTGAAATGGAATCAGTGGGGTAACTGTCCCACTGGGAACTGTTCCCCCTGGGAACTGCTGTGATGGGGAGGAAGTGGCCCCGGTCTGCTCTGGGGGTCCAGCCCCTGCACTCGACTGGGCAGCTTCTCATCCTTCCCAGAATCAAACATGGAACAGAGAAAGGGAAGGGGAAATGACACCTCACATCTGATGGTGAAGTGGTGGAGATGACGCAGCATGGATGTGGCCTGAGAAGTTTCCCAGGAACATTACCAAAGTGGCTCTTTGAAACAGTGCTTCTGGCTGCTTTTGGGTAACTGAGCTGCCCTCGAAATCCTCATGCAGTAAAGGCCTTTGTAGGTACCTTCTCTGTGCACATTCCATTCAGAACCTCTACCTCTGAGCTGCTTCTCCCAGTCCTCCTCCTACTCCAAGGGAAGGGTGGGAAGGACTCACTGTGTTTTGCCAAGCAGTGGAAGTGGTGTACATCCAAGGAAGATGAAGTGGCTGAAGCCCCAGCTGCACAGCCTTTGTGCGAAGTTTCTCAGCAGAAAGCAGGTTTGCCATCTCCAGCCACTTTCTTGAATTTAGATCTTGCTGTTACTTGCAGCGTCTTGGCTCACAGCCAACTAGATGGAAATGAAGGGGTTATTTTGTGATCAAAAGGAAACTCAGAGCTTTCTCTTGCCATGATGAGGGACAGAGAGGGAAGGGGAGGCTGGAGGTTTGTGCTTTCCGCTCTTTCCAAGGGGCATATCAGAAGAAAGCCATCAGCAAGGCAGCTGCCAGGTAAGAGGTCTCGCTTTTTGTGTTTGGGTTCCCAAAACTTTTAGTGGAAGCATTTAAAACACCGCTGTCACTCAAAACCCCCAGGCTGTGCCAAAAAAGATGGTTTGGGGAGGAAATGAGGCATTTCTGCTTGAGAAAACAAACAAAAGCAGCCCAGCCCACACTGGCAGCCCGCTCTGGAGCCGGGGAGCAGCAGTGCAGAGGGATGGTTGTCCATCATCCCAGTCCCTCACAACTCCACAGGAGCAGACCTGCCTTCAGTCTACCCCAGTCCCTGCATCCCTGCTCTGGCCTGGACCCCCTGCAAAGCCCCCCAAAGACCTTTGGGTTCTCTGTAGGGAAAGGGGCTGTGCTCCCCACTGGGATGGGCAGTGCAGCAGAGGAACCTCCTGCATTTTGGCATTTTGCTGGGAACCCAGTGACTATTTCTCAGGAAAAGCAGAGTCTCTCTCATGAAACACCCCAGGGTGAGTCATACAGGCCTGGGTGAAGGGGAGGAAGCAACTAACTTAAAAAAAGACATCCAGGGTCATCTGTGGGTAAGCACTGCCCAAAGAAGTGACAGGAGAATAAGGTTTGGAAAACTCGTGGGACACACAAGTGAATGTGGAGCTGGCTCTGTCCTGCAACATTCTTCATGACTAACCACGGGGGAAAATCCACACTGGGAGCAAGAAGCTGGAAAATGAGGATTTTCATGGTTTGGACCCTTTTCCCAGGTGAGAGCCAGGAACACAGGTCAGGCAATTCCATCTCGGGGGTTCTGGCAGAGCTGTGGAGAGGCTGGGGCCAAACCAGACCAGGATGGCCACCATGGTCACAGCAAGAGCCCAGCTGATCCCGACCTGTTCTTGTGGCAGTTACAGGGGGTGATCTCTTAAATGTGCTTCTACTGCTGCCATGTGAACCCTGGGAATAAGGCTTTTTGCTCTTTTAATAACACACAACCTTGATGGGGGACTCTTTTTTTCCTAACTGGGGACATCTCCTCTCAGCACTGCTCCCTGGCACAGCGGGTGCACAGGCACAGCCTCCCTCAGGACTGGGTGCCCCCAAGAATCCTGGGCTCAGATCCTTCTTGGTTCCCCAAAGCAATGCCAGGACATGTTTTTAGCACCTCTTCCTGTCCCCCACAGGTGTCTGGGCAGTGACAGGCCCCAAGCAGGTGACAGTTGACCAAGGCAGCTCGCTGGCAGTGTCCTGCAGCTACAAGCCAGGCTACAAGCTCAATTCCAAGTACTGGTGCCGCCAGAACTTCCTGTGGTTTTGCTTCTCCCATGTCATCCAAACCAATGGCTCGGAGGTGATAGTGACACAGGGCAGGGTGTCCATCAGGGACAACCACACGGCACGCTCGTTCACGGTGACACTGAGCGGTGTCACGCCGGGGGACGCAGGCTGGTACTCCTGTGGGGTGAAGAGGAAACCGTGGTTCAGCACATTCCACACCACCAGGGTGATGGTCTCTGCAGGTAAAATGGGTCTGGAAGCAAAGCTGGCAGTAACCCCCCTCTTTTTCCTCCTCCACAGCTCTCATGGCATTGCTGGATACCCCCATCTCCACCTCCTGCACCTCCATGGCCAAAATCTCAGGGCAGAGACCCCTGTGCAGGGGGCAGGACAGGGTGTGTGGGGTGGGTCTCCACTTCGCTCTGACTCTGTTTCCTTCGCAGCTGCTTCAACTTCAACCGAGGGCAGCCACATGGGCCTGCTGACCAGCAGCACTCTGGGCTCCAGTGGCTGTGGGAAGCCTCCAGTGCTGTGAGTAAGAGCTTGGGATCTGGGCAAGTCCCCAGCAGCATCCCCTGGCCAAAATCATGTTTTTCCCTGCATGCATCTCCCAGCTGTGTCCCTCCATTCCAGCAGCCCCAAGGAGCATCCTAGAGGCAAGCAGGGCAGCTGGCAGACATGTCTTGCTGAATGCCCAGCAGAAAGAGTAGTTAGTATTCCACGCAGAAGAGGAAGCGAAGCCCCAGAGACACAACGTAGAAGCAGCAGTAGGGCTGCCCCGACTGTGGCCCAGGCTACCCTGTCCATGTGGCTCCTGCTGCTGCTTGTCTGGGCATGGCTGCCAGGTAGGGCTGCGGGGATCCCTGGGGCCAGCCTGGATCATCTGATGGGCTGGGAGGTGTTGGTGTGGGGGCAGCACTCTCATGGCTCTGTGTGTCCCACAGGCTGTGGGGCGGTGACGGGGCCCTGGACTGTGCGGGGATACCTGGGGGGGTCCCTCTCAGTCACCTGCACGTACCGGCCTGGCCTGGAGAAGAACCCAAAGTTCTGGTGCAAACCAGGAACAATCCATGTTTGTGCTGAGGAAATCGTCATCACCTCGGAGTCACAGCCCGTGGTGCAGAAGGGTCGATTCTCCATCCAGGACAACCGCACACGGCAGGTGTTCACAGTGACCGTGGAGGATCTGGTCAAGGAGGACGGGGGAATATACCTCTGTGGGGTGCGAAAGGCAGTGTACCAGGTTGATGAGAGCGCTGATGTGAAGGTGATTGTGTTGCCAGCTCAGCCCCTGCACAGTTCCACCCCAGCAACAGTGACCAAAGCATTGGGGGGCTGGGGACAGACTAAAGGGGGAGGCGTCACCCTGAGCGAGAGGGGCTGGAGAGGGACCAGGTGCCCTCCTGGCACTCGCTGCATCCGTCACTCCTTCACACCTGCAACCCCAACGCTCCAGCCGGACGCTCCGCAGGGAACCGGTGGCTCCTTCCGCTACTTCCCAGTGCTGGCTGGGCTGCAGCTGCTGGCGCTGCTGGCCATGAGTGCGACCGTGCTCTGGGTCAGCCTGCGGGACTGAGCCCCCGCCGGGATCCCACGGCCACGGCCGATGCCCCGCGCTCCGTCCCAACAGGGTGGTTCGTGCCACCGGGGCGGCCCCAGGGGCGGGCCGGGCTCCCTGAAGAGGAACCAGGGTGCCAAGCCCGGCCATCCCAGACTGGCCATGCAGCTCCTGCTTCTGCTCTCCTGGGCGCTGCTGCCAGGTAAGGTCTCGCCGGAGACCTCGACTCTCAGAGTGGCCCGTGGGGGCGGTCGCGATGGGCGGGAGGTGTCAGTGCAGTGGCAGCACTCCTTTGGCTCCGTCTGTCTCCACAGCGTGCAGGCAGGTGGCAGGGCCCAGCACTCTGTGGGGATTCGTGGGGGGTCCCTCTCAGTTGCCTGCACATACCAGCCCAGCCTGGAGACGAACCCCAAATTCTACTGGCAGCACCTGCACTGGAGAGGGGAGGGTCTGAGTTGCAGAGAGCCTATGTCTGCTGAGCTGGAGCTGCCAAATGAAGACAATTTTGCAATAAAGCCTTGGTATCCTGAAGATGCCTGTCTGTCTGTCCACCTGCTCCTTCCTCCAGCTGCCCGTACAGCCCGGGGTACCTGTGGCTGTCAGTGCTGATGCACACACTGTGTGGGGACACTGCATTGTGACTGGGAGGGACATGGGAGCACAGGGGCAATGGGGGCACCTGATCCACTATCACTCAGCTGAGCCCTGTCCTGGGGAGAGGAGCCCTCAGCCCCAGGAGCCTCAGGCCTGCCAGCCCTGTCTGATGCCACCAAATGCCCATCTGCAGCTGAGCAAGAACCAGGGACAAGTGTCCTTCCTCACCTGTCCCCAACACTACAGCACCTACAGGGCATGGGGACACAGAGGGAGGCCTGAGAGGACCTAATCATGGCATGGGACTCCAGAGCCACAGAGGGGCTGTGCCGGGAACAGTCTGGGGGGATGTGCTGGCAAGAGCAGCAAGGACAGGTGCCCATGAGGCTCCCCATTTGCATTCCCACGGGAAGAACAGGGTGGCCATGCAGGAGCACTGCCCCAGCCTGGGGACTTGTGTGGGGCTCAGGGGGTCCCTGTGCAGTGCTGAGCCATCCCTTGAGAGGCAGGTCCCTCACCAGGTGCTGTGCCTGATGAGAGAGGCTGGGCAGTGTGGCAGTAAGAGGCAGAACTGTGTCCTGCCATGGGGGCACAGCAAGTGCTCACAGTGAGCAGGCAAAGCAGGAACACAGCTGACAGGAAACAGAAAACCCCACACTCTTGCTGAATGCCCAGCAGGAAGAGTAGTTAGTATTCCACGCAGAAGAGGAAGCGAAGCCCCAGAGACACAACGTAGAAGCAGCAGTAGGGCTGCCCTGACTGTGGCCCAGGCTACCCTGTCCATGTGGCTCCTGCTGCTGCTTGTCTGGGCATGGCTGCCAGGTAGGGCTGCGGGGATCCCTGGGGCCAGCCTGGATCATCTGATGGGCTGGGAGGTGTCGGTGTGGGGGCAGCACTCTCATGGCTCTGTGTGTCCCACAGGTTGTGGGGCGGTGACGGGACCCAGGACTGTGTGGGGATACCTGAGGGGGTCCCTCTCAGTCACCTGCACGTACCGGCCTGGCCTGGAGAAGAACCCAAAGTTCTGGTGCAAACCAGGAACAATCCATGTTTGTGCTGAGGAAATCGTCATCACCTCGGAGTCACAGCCCGTGGTGCAGAAGGGTCGATTCTCCATCCGGGACAACCGCACACGGCGGGTGTTCACAGTGACCGTGGAGGATCTGGCTAAGGAGGATGCGGGAATCTACCACTGTGGGGTGCGAAAGGCACTGTACCACTTTGATGAGAGTGCTTATGTGAGGGTGATCATGTTGCCAGCTCAGCCCCTGCACAGTTCCACCTCAGCAACAGCGACCAAAGCATTGGGGGGCTGGGGACAGACTAAAGGGGGAGGCGTCACCCTGAGCGAGAGGGGCTGGAGAGGGACCAGGTGCCCTCCTGGCACTCGCTGCATCCGTCACTCCTTCACACCTGCAACCCCAACGCTCCAGCCGGACGCTCCGCAGGGAACCGGTGGCTCCTTCCGCTACTTCCCAGTGCTGGCTGGGCTGCAGCTGCTGGCGCTGCTGGACATGAGTGCGACCGTGCTCTGGGTCAGCCTGCGGGACTGAGCCCCCGCCGGGACCCCACGGCCACGGCCGATGCCCCGCGCTCCGTCCCAACAGGGTGGTTCGTGCCACCGGGGCGGCCCCAGGGGCGGGCCGGGCTCCCTGCAGAGGAACCAGAGTGCCAAGCCCGGCCATCCCAGACCGGCTATGCAGCTCCTGCTTCTGCTCTCCTGGGCGCTGCTGCCAGGTAAGGTCTCGCCGGAGACCCTGACTCTTGGAGTGGCCCGTGGGGGCGGCCACGATGGGCGGGAGGTGTCAGTGCAGTGGCAGCACTCCTTTGGCTCCGTTTGTCTCCACAGGGTGTGGGGAGGTGGCAGGGCCCAGCACTCTGTGGGGATTCATTGGGGGTCCCTCTCAGTCGCCTGCACATACCAGCCTAGCCTGGAGACGAACCCCAAATTCTACTGGCAGCACCTGCACTGGAGAGGGGAGGGTCTGAGTTGCAGAGAGCCTATGTCTGCTGAGCTGGAGCTGCCAAATGAAGACAATTTTGCAATAAAGCCTTGGTATCCTGAAGATGCCTGTCTGTCTGTCCACCTGCTCCTTCCTTCAGCTGCCAGTACAGCCCGGGGTGCCTGTGGCTGTCAGTGCTGATGCACACACTGTGTGGGGACACTGCATTGTGACTGGGAGGGACATGGGAGCACAGGGGCAATGGGGGCACCTGATCCACTATCACTCAGCTGAGCCCTGTCCTGGGGAGAGGAGCCCTCAGCCCCAGGAGCCTCAGGCCTGCCAGCCCTGTCTGATGCCACCAAATGCCCATCTGCAGCTGAGCAAGAACCAGGGATGAGTGTCTTTCCTCACCTGTCCCCAACACTACAGCACCTACAGGGCATGGGGACACAGAGGGAGGCCTGAGAGGACCTAATCATGGCATGGGACTCCCAAGCCACAAAGGGGCTGTGCCGGGAACAGTCTGGGGGGATATGCTGGCAAGAGCAGCAAGGACAGGTGCCCATGAGGCTCCCCATTTGCGTTCCCATGGGAAGAACAGGGTGGCCATGCAGGAGCACTGCCCCAGCCTGGGGACTTGTGTGGGGCTCAGGGGGTCCCAGTGCAGTGCTGAGCCACCCCTTGAGAGGCAGGTCCCTCACCAGGTGCTGTGCCTGATGAGAGAGGCTGGGCAGTGTGGCAGTAAGAGGCAGAACTGTGTCCTGCCATGGGGGCACAGGAAGTGCTCACAGTGAGCAGGCAAGGCAGGAACACAGCTGACAGGAAACAGGAAACCCCATAGTCTTGCTGAATGCCCAGCAGAAAGAGTAGTTAGTATTCCACGCAGAAGAGGAAGCGAAGCCCCAGAGACACAACGTAGAAGCAGCAGTAGGGCTGCCCTGACTGTGGCCCAGGCTACCCTGTCCATGTGGCTCCTGCTGCTGCTTGTCTGGGCATGGCTGCCAGGTAGGGCTGCGGGGATCCCTGGGGCCAGCCTGGATCATCGGATGGGCTGGGAGGTGTCGGTGTGGGGGCAGCACTCTCACGGCTCTGTGTGTCCCACAGGCTGTGGGGCGGTGATGAGGTCCTGGACTGTGCGGGGATATCTGGGGGGGTCCCTCTCAGTCACCTGCACGTACCGGCCTGGCCTGGAGAAGAACCCAAAGTTCTGGTGCAAACCAGGAACACTCCTTACTTGTGCTGAGGAAATCATCATCACCTCGGAGTCACAGCCCGTGGTGCAGAAGGGTCGATTCTCCATCCGGGACAACCGCACACGGCGGGTGTTCACAGTGACCGTGGAGGATCTGGCCAAGGAGGATGCGGGAATATACTGCTGTGGGGTGCGAAAGGCAGTGTACCAGGTTGATGAGAGTGCTTCTGTGAGGGTGATCGTGTTGCCACGTGAGTACTTGATGGTCTCCCAGGTCCAGCCCTGATGTGTTCTCATCCAAGTACTGGGAGCAAGGGCTGCAGTAGGGGCAGCCTGCAGGCGGTACCTGCCCAATGTCACCACAGTGCAGCAGGTGCCACCATCACCCACTCTCCATGCCCAGATCTCCCCACAGCCCCTTCTCAGTGCTCCAGGATCAGCCACCTCCATTGCTGGGATGTACCACCCTGCTCTCTGTGCCTCATTTTTCCTCTCATCTGATCTTGCTGTCTCTGTCTGTGCTGTCCTTGCCTTGTTGCAACACAGTGGGGAATTCCTCACTCCCCTGTGCTGCCCCATTTCCCACCTGGGACAAGCAGTGCCTCTGGGCACCAGGCCCTGGGCTTCAGAAACATCCCTTCCCACTGCCTTGCCAGGTAGAACACATGTGGAGTAGTTGTGTTATAGTGAACGAGGCATGGGGTACCCAGACCTCCTTTCTGCAGGGTGAACTCTGTTTTGTGCATGCTTTCAGGGGGACCAGGACTATGAAAAGCCTCCTGGGCAGTAGTAGGTTCTTATAGCCTTCCCACCTCGAGGGGTGTCCTTCAGCTACTCCCTGTGTGACAGTAAGTGGGTCACTTCTGACTCACTGAAAAACCCACAGCATTTTTCCCCATGGAGACAGAACAAACAAGCCTCTCCTCTTCTCATTACAGCCACCCCATCACCAGCCTCCACCACAAGCAAGCACACTGACCTGACTAGCTCTGTAACACGCCCCACACAGACAACTCCCCAAGGGGGAACTGTGCATGTGACACCAAATCCCTCCAGCAACCAAAGGTGAGTAGCAGCTCCTGCCTACAGCAGCCACTTCCCTTACCGGGATTTCTTTGGTGCAGCTGGAGCCCTGCAACCCTCAGACTCTTCACACCTCCCTTAAGGATCCAGATGTCCTGCTTTTGCCTTTAGAGACCACTCTATGTGGAGAAACTCTTCCCTATGAGGCTGGTGAGACACTGGCACAGATTGTCCAGAGAAGCTGTGGATGCTCCATCCCTAGAAGTGTTCCAGGCCAGGCTGGATGGGGCTCAGAGCAACCTGGTCTAGTGGAAAGTGTTCCTGCCCATGGCAGGGGATTGGAACTAGGTAATCTTACATGTCCCTTCCAACCCAAAGCACTATATGATTCTCTGGCAATAATTCCAATGTCTCTGGCCACTTGGCCCCAGAAAAGCCCTGCCTCTCCCCCATCTGTTTTGCAGCTTAAGCAAGACATGAGCTGTTGCCATGGGAAAAGTAGTTTCTGCCTGCAACATTGACCCCATTTCCTTCCCCAAAATCAGAGGCACTGTTTGCTTGTGGGAAACCAAGTGGAGGCCAGTGTTCTGTTCTGCTTTGCAGTCAAGCACACAGCCCAGCAGAGATAGTGGACAAAGCCTTAAACAGGAGTTGCAGAGCTTCTTTCCTTCCCTCCTGCCTCTGGGAGGTGATGCCTCAGCAAGCAAAGCTGAGGCTCCCCATTAGAACACTGCAGGGGTAGCTGGCACGTCAACCTTGCCTGCTTGCCCATTACAGACAAGGTCAACAAATAGTGGAGCTAAACCAGAGCAACATTAGATGCAGGAACCCATCCTTCAGCCAGTAAAGACTCAGCAGCTCTCGGACCTCAGCGTCAGTTTGCTTCTGCAGTTTTTGGTTTGCTTTGCTCCGTGCCCAGCTGGAGGCCTGACCACCCCACACCTGCTCTCCTTCCTCTCAGGGAAAGCTCTG